TTGTTTCTGATGAAATTCCTGACCCAAATGAGCATGCAACTCCTCTTCACAGATTGGTGCAAAATCACACGGTACATGGGCCATGTGGCTCACTAAACCTAAACTCCCCATGCATGGTTAAGGGAAAGTGTTCAAAACAGTTCCCAAAAGCTTTCAACAATAGCACTAGAGACAATCTAAATGGATATCCTGAATTTAAACGCCGCGATAATGACATCGTTGTCGACGTTCGTGGACATACTATAGACAATAGATATATAGTTCCATACAATCCATACCTTTTAATTAAGTTCAACTGTCATATGAACGTAGAGGTCTGCACAACTGTTAAAGGCATTAAATATATATACAAGTATGTGTACAAGGGATATGATTGTGCAACACTAAAATTCTCAAAAGAAAACAGCAGTGTTCTGGTTTATGATGAGATTGATTCTTATTCACACGGCCGTTACGTTGGTTCAACTGAAGCTGTTTGGCGTATATTTGAGTACAAAATCCATTTTCAAACTCACTCAGTGATTCGTCTAGATATACACTTACCTGACCAACAGACAGTAATTTTGAAAGAGGGAGAAGAAGATGGTGTTATTGCTGATCCCAAGAAAACTAAACTACAAGCCTTCTTTGATTCAAACAAAACTGATACACATGCACGACATCTCCTGTACACTGAAATTCCTCAAAACTATACTTGGGACACGATAAATAGAACTTGGAAACGGAGGAAACAGGGAGCATAAACAACAATAACGAGGTTATACATTGTCAACCCAAAACAACCAGAACTATACCATCTTCGCCTCATTCTACTGCATGCCCGTGGTCCATCATGTTTTGAGGACTTGCTAACATTCAACAGCGTAAGGTACAACTCTTTTGTAGAAGCTGCATATGCCAGAGAGATTGCAACCAACAATAACGAATGGCGTGAATCACTCAATGAAGCCAAGGAGACACAAATGCCATACCAGTTACGTCAACTCTTAGGATTTATTTGTGGACTAAACATTCCAACAATTGCTGCAGAACTTTGGGAAGAATTTAAAGATTACTTGTTTGAAGATTTCAAACTACGCCATGACACACAAAGCTCTATAAATTTATGCCTATTGGAAATAGAGGATATTTGAATCATCCATAATACGTCATGTAAAGAACTCGGCTTACCTATTCCTATTCAGTATACTATCAAAAGAAACACATTCGATGCTCAAGAACAAGACAGTTTATTTAAGGAAATGTACAATAAAGCAAATGATGAGCAAAGATTCATTATCGAAACTGTTTTAGAAGCCATACTAAAGGAAACATCTTCTACAAACGTATTTTGTTTAACAGCACATGCAGGATGTGGAAAAACATTTGTTCAAAAAGCTTTACTGTGCAAACTACGATCAATGCAACAACAGTGTATTCCATGTGCATGCAGTGGCATTGCAGCCAGCCTCCTAGATGGAGGTCAGACTCTTCACAATATTTTTAAATTGCCTATACCCATCTTGGAGAACTCAACATCTGGTATCAAACCAAACATTCCTGAGGCTAAAATAATTATAGAGTCTTCATTAATAATTATAGATGAAATATCTATATGTGTCCTGTATATGTTTTAAACATTATCGATAGATTACTTTGAGATCTTATGCGAAACAAAAATAAATAAGAAACTATTGTTTGGTGGTAAAGTTATCTTATTGTGTGGAGACTTTCGCCAAACACTACCAGTAGTACCACACGCTGGTCCAGCCACGATAATTGAACAATGCGTTAAATCTTACGAGCACTGGGGGTGCGTTAAACAACTGAGTTTGTCTAAAAACATGAGGGTATTGGATAGTGAAATAGAGTTTTCAAAGTTTCTTAGAACAGTCGGTAATGGTGAACTAAACATAGAAGTTGATTTGGGAGAGGATATAATGAAAATACCCACCCAGTTAATTAGTTCTGGCCCAGTAATTGAAGATATTTACGAAGATCTTAATAAACTAATCGCAACTTCAGACATTACTGAGAGAGCTATACTAGCACCAAGAAATGAAGACTGTTTAATAATTGCATTTTAAAAAAGTTACCTGGTGAAGAAATAGACTACTGTAGTGTTGACAAGGTGATAGCAGATGATGACATGGCTCACACTACAATCCCAACTGAATTTCTCAATAGTTTGACTGTAAGTGGCTTACCACCTCACAAACTGACTTTGAAAAAAAATTCTATAGTAATGCTAATCAGAAATTTGAACACATCTAAAGCAATAATTAACGGAACAAGAATGCGAGTGAAAAACCTGTACTGCAACTCAATAGATTGTGAAATTCTGACGGGGACTTCGATTGGACAAAGGATTCTTATCCCACGAATTCATCTAACAACTTCTGGAACTTTATTGCCATTCAAACTTGAAAGAACTCAGTTTCCCGTAATCCTTGCATTCGCAATGACAATAAATAAGGTCCAAGGGCAATCAATCGCTAAAATCGGTGTATACCTACCATAACCCGTTTTTTCCCACGGACAGCTCTACGTAGCAGCCAGTAGAGCAAGATCATTCAATGGCTTACGTTTCTACATATCGGATACAAAGGATCATGGGCACCTAAGAAATGACCGAAATGTCTATACAAAAAATATAGTAGGTATACAAAGAACTCTTGCACACTTAAAATGAAACATATTTTGTTTAATCTATTTTAACTTTTTACTAGATGAAAAAAAATAAAATCCTTTAACCTCACCAGTGTTGTTTAGTATTTGATCATTTTAATACAGAATTTAAATAAAAAATAATGAATGTAGGGATATACATAAGCAAATTTAACATCTCAATAGCATAAGTATATTAAAATTATTAAAACTAATATTCAAATTATTAAAATTGTTAAAATTATTATCTCTTTTATTGCTGACATTATTCCCGTGGCAAAGCACGGGCTGTTAACTAGTATTAGTTTGATATAAGCTATTTTTTGTTAACATGCTATACTAGATTGTATGTAAGGTATTGAATGTGAACATTTTAAGGCATGAGTTGAGGAGAAGGTTTTTTTAAGAAGAATTTTTTACACTTTGGTGCCAGTTGGATAAAGTAGGTAGGTTACCTAAGTTAAGTTCAGTTTAGTTTGATAATAAACAAGGGAACATTAATTAAAACAAAAGTTCATGGTAATTTATTTTGTTAAATTTGTTAAATACTTTTACTTAGATTTGTTATTGTTAACCCTCCGAGTGTACCTAGTTTTGGCCTTAATGTTTGCCTATTTTTTGCGCATTTGCAAGGTATTATTAAAACGGATCTGAGAAGCTTAAAAACAATGTTAATTATACTGTTCTATATACCATTTTGTTTGGAAAATCATGGGCTTCAATATTATACATAAAACATAAGGAACATTTGTTTCAAAAAATTTTTTTAGGTAAAAAAAAACATATTTTGGAAAATTAAAAAAAAAAAATAAGTTTGCGCTCAATGAATTTGTATAAATTATAGGCCTATAAATATTTGAAAATAGCCACTTTGTTCTAAATTTTATGAGGATTACAAATATATAATAATATATAGTAGATTTGCAAATAAATAAGTTATGGGCAAAAAACAGATTTCAGTACATAGCGTTTAGCTAAGAATGCATAGCCTAACCATAGCTAGGAATCTGGCTGATAATTTACATCAATATCACTACCTTCTTCTTCAGGATCATCAACCAGCCCTTCAAAATCACTTAAATCTTCTTATAATGCACCATGTATATCACTACTTTTGATTTTTAACACTAAAACAATGATAAACGTAATAAAACACATCAGTCATCGGTGTGAGGTTAACCAAGCTGTTTACAAATACGCACGTCAGCTGTCTGCTACAATTATGATCGGCTCGAGAAAAAAAGCGCTTAGAGACAGACCTCGGGAGAAAGCTTAGAATCTGCCAAATAAAACGATACCTAACTCGATCCAGTTCAATCCGATTTGGTCAGTCATAGAGCCTTTGCCGTAAACAGTGTTTGTGAGTCGAAAAATCGACACATAACACTTGGAGGGTTAAGTTTCATTTTTCCTATAATTTTACATAATGTCTATTTGTAATTTGTGTCCTCATTTTCATGAGTTTATAAAAAGGTCAAAATGTATAAATGTTATTTTGTTTTTATCCACTTAACATAAACTAGACTTGGCTGCACTTAAGTTTACGTCCTACACTCATTCTAATGCAATTTTCGATATATCAATTAGCCTACTGTTATTTCATTCTATATACCAGTATCAAGTTTGAAATGAAATAATCGATATATCGAATAGTCTATATATTGATATTTTTCATTTGAATGAGTGTAGGACGTAAACTAAAGTGCAGCCCTAGACTTTTTTGAGGTTGTGCAATTTTGTCACTATTTAACATTAAAAGGGAAAAATGGACTGATGTAATGTGAAGTAAATTATATAGGCCTAATTAGAAATAGACAACCTAAAATAAAATTAACTTAAACCTTTCAATGCAAGCATTGATACTAACTGACAACTACCAAAGAAACTAAGGGTGTCTTGCTAGCTCAGTGGTAGCATCTCACACTTCGGTGCGGGAGAGACAGGTACAATTCCCGGCACATGCGAACAATTTTAATGGGGTTGGCTTTCTCTTTTGCTTTCTCTTAGAAGTGTTTGAATTTACTTCATTATAAAAATGCCACTGGCATTGGCACAAGAGTTACAACTATATATAATTATTTAATACTGTAATGAATAATGCATGTTAACGATTGTTTTGCTACAGATTAAACAAGGTTATTGTTAGTAACTTACTTGTTAGTTTTTTGCGTTTGCAAAATAAAACTATTCAAAGCATTTAAAGTCAAAGCATAGTGAAAATTGAAATGGAACATTTCAAAAATGAAATTCTTTTGATATACTTAAAACCATTTGAAAACCAGAAGATCTCATAATCATGCATCACTTTCCCAAACCTATTTGCAAAATTAAGCTAAATATATGATTTTTTTCAGCTTTTTTGTATAGCAACATGTTAAACTTCTATAGAAAGCAAGCATCTTTTTCTGTTGAGAAACTAAAAGAATACACCGAAACAAGTGATGTTTTGGATTTTAAGGTAAGATAACAATCATATTAATAGTATAGGCATAGCTTTTTAGTTGTACATGAATTGGAGAGCATTTTCTAAGGGAACACCTCAGGACCATTCCAAGTGGTACACTCCAAGTGTCTGTAACATTATGCCTTTAAATAAAAGTTGTAAATCTGTCAAATTTGTTTTTGTTTGTATGTACTTTTTTATGAAGGATTAATCTATATATTCATTCCTCATTTAGATCTAAAAGATTCTTCCTTCTTCTTAATCCGTAAACAGAGGCAATTAGCAATCCCCACAAGCTTTGATTTAAAATAAGTTAGGCCCAACTCATAAATAGACTGAAACAGCCAATATTATCACTACATTCTTTGTCTTCTGGTGAAAGCCATTTAAAATTGGTATAAATCTATTTAGATTCACCATTTTTAACTATTTTAAATACGAGACATTTTTTCCCTATGCATACAAAAATGAAATAAAAACTTCTTATTTTGTTAACGAGTATTTTGAGTTAATAAACTAAATGATATAGGTAAGTAATACAATAATTTGGCTGTGTTGTTAAGTTGAAATTCACTGTAAAAAAAAAAAAAACTAATCATTAGTTGTACAGATTATAGGCAGCTATATTTTCACTTCATTTTTTAGATTCAATAAAAGAATTAAGTAAAGTAATACCACAAAGCCCTTAAAAAACCAGAAGTTTTTTTACAAAACAACTCAACAAATAGAACATTTTCTTGGTCAGAGGTCTCATCGTCGGATATAATTAAAGTTGTTGCAAAATTAACAAATTCTAAATCAATGGATTATTATTGGATTTCTAATAATATTTTGAAAAAGACTATAGGTTGTATTAGCTCTAGCTTTTATATTAAATATCTGTATGAGGGAGGGATATTTTTCACCATCCCTCAAAATATCGAAAGTAATCTCAATATTCAAAAAAGGTGATAAAAACCTAGTCCAAAACTATCGGCCTATTTCAATTGTTCCTATTTTTTCCAAAATATTTGAAGCAGTAATGTATAATCAATTAAATAATTACTTTGAAACAAATAACCTTTTGTCTAACTCCCAATTCGGCTTTCGTCAAGGTAAATCCACAACCTCAGCAATTCTCACTTTAGTTGACCATTCTCTTGAAGCTTTAGAAAGGAAAGAATCTGTGTCATTAGTTTTGTGTGATTTAAGTAAAGCTTTTGACACGGTTCCTTTAGATATCCTAACGAACAAACTATGTTTTTATGACATCACTAATGATGCCATGCTTCTAATTTCTTTGTATTTATGTAATAGACTTCAATTTGTATCGATTACAAATAAATGTTGTAAAACTGAAAAAGTTGAAACCGGTGTTCCTCAGGGCTCTGTACTAGGGCCCTTTTTCTTTAACATCTGCGCTTAATTAGCCAAGAGGCTGAACTGAGAGCATATGATTGGTTTTCTGCAAACAGACTATCTTGTAATTCTGATCAATCACAATATATTACAATCAGTCTCAAAACAGAGGTAAAATTTGAATCAGTTAAACTTTTAGGATTTAATTTGGATTCAAAATAAAATTGGTCATCACACATACAATCTGTTTGTAACAAAATTTCAAGAGTGAGGTGCTTGCTGTGGAAACTTAAGGATTTTGTTAGTCAAGAATATTTTAGATTGGCATATTTTAGACTCTTTCAATCACACTTACTATATGGTCTTATTTTGTGGGGCCACTCTCCACATATTAATGACATCCTTATACTCCAAAAAAGGCGGTTCAAAGCATTGCTGGAGAATGCTCAGCTACACACTGTAAACCTCTTTTCATTAATTTCAGGATACCAACCATAGTAAATCTTTATATATTCCAAATTCTAATATATACTAAGTCAAACTTAGATCAATTCTCTTTCAGAAAAGACGTACACAACCACTATACAAGAGGTAGGGATAAAATAGATGTATTGCAGCACAGATTGGCAAAAACCGAACATTCACGTAAGTTAAATTGTATAAAAAATTTTAATAAGCTGCCTGAAGAAGCAAAATTAGTTTCTTACAATATTTTTAAAAATAAACTGTATGACTGGATTGTTAAATCTAGTTAAATCAATAGTCAAAGCCATCCTTTGTCCTCAGAAAATAACTGAGTTTTGAAATTTTCGGAATGGTATTTCTCTAATTATATGTTACAGGAAAAGCTGTACAAGGTGTTTCAAGATGATCCAATTTTCCAAAAGCAGCTCCCATCCAAAAGTTTAGATGAGATTAGAAAAGAAGCTGTATTGCGGGGAAATCGAATCATCGACTCTGGAATCCTCCAGGATCCTAATATTTTTGGTCATCCTTTAGTGGTAAATGTTTTACGTATTCTATAAAAATAAATATAGACTATATAAAATGAGAGTGTGTGTGGGAATGTCCAGTGTTTTCTCCATGACCACCCACTCATGGTTGTAGTAGTAGGAGTGCATCCAGGGACCCTGGATTACCACAACCTAGGAACCCAGTAGTACAAGTTCATCAAATCTTGAAAGTTATCACACTTCCTTTTAGAAATTGGTTGACAAAAAAATTTAAGAATTAAAATTAATCAGGCCTAAATAAAAATATATTTATAAAAATGAATTAAATTTAATTAAATAATAAAATTAATTAAAAAAAATAAATTTTGTCATACAGTATAAGTTTTAATGTCCATAAAATAATAAATTGTAATGATAATAATAACAGTTTTAAAAGAGTTTTATGGATTTATTTAAGTGAGGTAAGTTGAAAACATAACAGGAATGCATATTTGACAAAACAACATTTGTTAAAAAAAAGTAAAAATTGGGTTGAAATCTAAAATGTCCTTATCCAGAGGGGCAAAAGTGAGAAGCAAACAGAAACACAACTACATTAATGTAGTTGTGTATATAACACTTAAGTAATACAAGAAAATGTAAAGGAATTATTAATAACATTTTCATTTTATTGAAGTTTTCATGAATTTTTGCTAATAACTCAGTATTTACCAACCAAATTTGCCCGGAGTTGTTTCAAAAGCTGGGAGAATAATGTCCCCAACTTTTAAAAGCTTAATCAAAAACTAGTGGTTGCTTCACTTACGTCCAATCATAAAAATCACTAGTTCAAATAAAAGCCGCTATTTTACTTAAGGTTCTTAGACCAAAATTATGTAGGATTATGTAATTAGAATGGAGTAATATATCTAAAATGAAACTCGATATCAAGAAATAATCAGATTTATGCTTTTTGATTGAGTAATACAGTATCTCATCTGGAACTTAACTGATCCAAACGATCAATAGATCAAATTAAAGCCTATAATTTACTGATTATGTTGATTCTAAAACATATCAAAAATTCAAAAACATAAACAATACTGTAGCTATTGATTGTTAATAATATAAAAACCTTATAAAAATAATTTTTATGTTGGTTGGTCACCTTGCATTTGCTTAACACTCGTCAAATCATAAAAGTCCTAAATCATAAAAGTGAAACCTCAATCATAAAAGTCAGTCGGGTAGAAGAGCCAAACGAACTCGGAAAAGAAAACCCAAATTTAACTCCCATAAGAAAAGAAATACATGGGGAGCAAATTTCGTTTATGTATAAGCCGAGTGGGAATGTAGATAAATATATGCCGATGCTTGATGTGAAATCTGTTCGTGCACACCTTCAATTTAAGTCCAAATTTATGAAAATTGGTCAGGTAGAAGAGCTAAGCCGACTTCGAAAAGAAAAACTAATATGTTTTAATATATAGATTCAAAATGATAATATCTATATAAATAAAATTAGAGTTTTGTCTGTACATTGCTTAGAATTATATATTTTTAGGTTATTTTTACGTTTTATACATTAAAGAAGCAGAAACGAGTCTTATCTCTATTTCTGTCTGTCTGTCTTTCTGTCTGTCTGTAACACTCAAGATAGCATTTTACGCTATCTTCTCCAGTAAAACAAGAGTACCTATCAAGATCCTTGAAGTCATTTTAATGTATTCACTGGATTGGCGAGAGTGTCTTTAGCCATTAAAATATGGCCTCACTACTTTGTAAATAAAAGTACGGACGTTCAAAAATGCAGTTTTGTGCGATTTTTGTCAAGTTTTGTCCAATTTTTATCACATAATCATATATGAAATAACGAACAGCTGTTCGGATCAAGATTATTTTTTCTAGCTGTCACTGATATGTTTACAAAAATTTATCTCAATAAATAATGGGTTTAGCAATACAAGTATAATGACAAAGTTCTTTTGCCTTCGGTTAAGGAGTAAAATGAGCTTTACAAAATTAAAATCTGACCACTGGGGACGGGGATACGTATTCCCATAAATAATCTAGCAATTTGGCGGCCATTTTCCAATAAGGCGGCCGATCGACCATGATTTGGACCATGCGACCAGTTGTTATTTTAGCTCCCATAGGTGTTAAATAAACAAAGCCCCGCGACAAAACTTAGGGGACGTATAAGTGCACACGGACATGGTCTAGCGCCTAGACTATAGGTAATAAGTAGTAACAGTGATCTTTTAAAAAAATTAACAAAAACTTTCAAGCATTTTATAAATCTTTACCTTAAAACACACAGTCTAATCAACTAGTAGTTATTTGTTTAGCTGTAGAATTGTCTTGCATCACAAAGTGATTATAGATTATCAGGAGATTACCCTTATTCTAAAATTACAGAGATTACTGAATATTTTATAAGGGTAATTTTTTTGTAAAAGTAACAACACTTAAGATTAAATAACAGTTTAACTTTCTTCAGATCAATTTCAAATTCCTCTTCTTGTCTTGTTAATTTATTTCTTCAGAGCATATAATTATGTTTATTGTCTACCAAACTGTTTTCAGGGACCAGCTCTATTGTTCACACTGGTCCAGTATGATCCAGCAGTCATGTTCAAAAGCACATTCTCTGCTGCATTTTTTGGAAACAGTATCAAAGGGCTTGGGACCTCAGACCACACAAAGTTTCTTGATGATGCAATGAGTGGAAAGGTAAATTAAGATTTTTGGTAAAATAGTTACCGGTATGTTTTAATTTCTTTTTAGTGGATTCTGACTCAACTGAAAGTTCATAGGTGATTCTATTCACCAAAAATTAACTGTGGATAAATCATTTTATCAAATTAAAATCAATTATAGACGAGCTGTTGGCCCATCCTACGTACGGGAATTGAGTAGTCCATAAACCTGTATATAGTTATATCAATATTTCTATTCCTTAATCAAGCATAGTTTAAGCTGTTCAAAATTTATTGTAAAAAAAACCTGCCAAGATGAATTAAAACCATTGTTATTTCCCAACCTTTCCCCAAACATTTGAGTAGCAACCAAAATTTTCATAAGATTTGTATTCAGCAATGATTATTGTAAAAAAAACCTGCCAAGATGAATTAAAACCATTGTTATTTACCAACCTTTCCCCAAACATTTGAGTAGCAACCAAAAGTTTCATAAGATTCGTATTCAGCAATGATTATAGAATCTTACTTATTTCCCATAATCAATGACAAAATCACAGAGTAAATAAACTAACCTCATAGTTGGAATATTTTTATACTCAACCAGCTGTTAGTTTTAACAAATGCTGAATTTGTGTTGCGAACGCTGAATGTTTGCAGCACATGGTAACACAACATGTTAAGCAAATGGTATTATAGCAAGAGCTAGTCTAGAATGTTTACGTCGGCTGCTAGACTTAAAAAAAATTAAAACTTAATTTCTAGAAAACTGAAACCCTAAACTAAAATTATGGATTATGGACGCTTTAGAAGAGTTCGAAATTTATAAAACTACCAAAACCCAACCTAACACATTATTAAACGACAAAATCAGTTTCCAGTCCAACGCTCTGTATGATACTTTAATAACAAACCAAGAACAGCTGATGAACAAAGAGCCGAGAAGTACAAAGTCCACCGCCGGCCCACCTCCCGTATCGCAGTCATGACTTTAACCTACAACTGTGCGGTCAGACATCGCAAGTTTTTGTCGGTAGGCCTACCCGTAATTGTAAAATGTGTTTATTTATTATGTGTCCGTGTTGTATATTTAAACTTTTGATGACCTTTTCGAATTGATAGATGTGTTTCTTGTACAAGATCTGATGATGAGGACTTAAGCTCCTCGAAACGCGTAATCCGTAAGGACCAACAGGATCATTCTGGCAGTACTCAGGTAATTTTATACCTTTTATAAAATTATGGCTTCGACATTCCCTAGTTCTAAAAATTATCTTTCTTTCAACACAAAAATCGTGAAAATCTGTCAAGTAATTGATTCAGAATCGTGAATTAAAAAAACCTCGTCACGTTTTAATATATACGAGGTGTTAGCCCGTCCTACGTACGGGAATCGAGTAGTCAGTTAAAACTATGTATATAATTCAAAACAGCTAGTTAACACGTATAAAGACAAATTTTCTTGCAGTTTTAATGTGAAAAATCATCTTGTAAAGAAATGTAGTGTGCCAAATAGGTTTTCATCCCAGTATAGCAGCATATTGGATATACATTTTTTAAATCCGATAATTTTACAATAAAACAGCAATTGTGTCGATGTGAGAAGTGTTGAAGTGAGATTGGCGGTCGATTCGCACACTGATTATAAGTACAGTAGAGAGAGTAATAGCATAGATTAAACATACTCCCTTAGTAGATTCTCCGCGGGATAGGGGTCGGTATGTTCGAGCGCTTGTACGGCGAAGTTGCGTGCTGCCCACGTAGTTCAGTACGGTCAGGCTAGGAGCGCTAGAGGTCTCACCGTACAGCCACACACACAAACACACTCTTACCACGTTATAGCTCTCACACGCGCGTCCACAAGCCCCGCGCGCCCCGCCGCGCGCCAGCACTGAGCACCAGCGAGCAAGGAATACCACCTTGGCACATAGGCCTACACACGACCACGACACTCACACTCAGCTTGATTCCATACAGCGTGATTTGTACGTGCAGAGCCTCGGCTAACTGTATTTCAGTATTTGTAACACCAGTGTTTTATTGCGATTGTTCTAGTTTAGTTAATGTGATGTTGATAATTAAATTAATTGTTCTTTTATTTGAATAGCCATCTATTGTATTTGTTACTTGTGAGTATTTTTAACCGACTTCCGCACTACCAACAAAAGAATGAGGTTCTCAATTCGTTTGTGCCAATGTATTTTTTTCTATAGATTTTCATCAATTTCTCTGGGATTTTTATACCGATCAGCGTGGTTCCACTCCCAAAATAACCATTGTTTCCCTTTGGTACCATATATAACATTATGTTTAAGTGTAGGCCTAAATATTGGTTCCAGTGAAAAAATGTTGAAAACCTTTATAAAATATTTATTTCGTTAATATTTTTACAGAAAAGGCAATAAATAATAATAATATTCTTACAACTGTTAGTTGAAACGATGAAGGTACAGAGACAGATCTTCATGAAAAAGTTGCTTAATATATTTCATGCCATGGAGCCTAAATAACTGACTTTGAGTTTACTAGGCGTTTTGTTTTGGTTACTATGAAAAAGGTATTTCAACATTTGACCTGCATTTTGTATAACTCCGTTTTGAGTATTGAAATTGTATACTGTTATCAACACCATAAAATAAACATCATAACAATAAAATTATAGTATATCATTGGTAACATTATTCCAATCGAACAATACACTTATTTCCTATTGATTTTTAAGACATAAAACTTTTAGGCTACGTCGGTTTACAAAAAACATGTTTGGCTGCAAAAGATAGGTAATAGGGTATATTGTGGTAAAAAATAGAGTTCGTACCACGGACCGAAATGGTTTTGCAGCTCTCGATCGATTTAATTTCTGGCAATCCCAATTCATCACCTGGTTTACCAAATTTTTATAACCAGGAATTATGTAACCTGAACAGGTGACTCAAGCAGTTTTAAAATAATAACTGTTCAATAACTTTCTTGATCGGTCCAAATCATTTTGCTTTTAAAAACCCTTTACATAGAGTGAGGGAGAGAGGTTTTGAGTTTAAACAGAAGTTAAAACTACGTTCGCTGATGACACTGCACTGTTGTCGAGTCATGTGGACCCTCAAGTCGCTTACATAAATTTACAAGCTGCCTTGACTGAGTTCAATATTGGCTTAAAAAGTGGAGGATAAAAGTCAACGAAAACAAGTCCAAACATATTGTTTTTACTCTGAGAACAGGGTACAATCCTCCAGTAACCATTAATAATGTAGCCTTAACGGAGGCAGACAGTGTAAAATATTTAGGTCTAACTCTTTACAAAAAATTAAATTGGAAATCTCATATCTGGTGCAAGAGACAGCAAATGGAATTAAAACTTCGTAAACTCAATTGGCTACTAGGTACGAATTCAAAATTATCATTGGCTAACAAAATTTTACTGTATAAAGTTATGATCAAACCAATTTGGACATACGGAATTCAACTTTGGGGGACCTCGAGCAAATCCAACATCGAAATTCTTGAACGATTTCAGGCTAAGGCACTGAGAAGAATTATTGGCACACCCTGGTTCGTATCCAACACTACAATTAGGAATGACTTCAAAATTAAATCAGTGAAAGAAGAAATCACAGACCTTGGTCTAAAATTCAAGGTATACAAGCACAGATTTGCCATCAAGCATCGGCATTCGTTTATCTAGAGTCTAATTCAAGTTATGCACAAACGAAACCTCCTCCATGTACATTTCTTTTAGGAGTTAAATTTGGTATTTCTTTTCCGATTTTCTTCTCCTCCATGCAGGATCTCAAGACAGTCCGGACTCTCAGTGGTTAGGAAATAGTGCTCAAAAAGCGATTGTGAACTGTGATGAGTCGTGCACGGAATCAGGGAGGTTAGTTATCCTAGTCTACGCCACAAATAGGTCATCCAATAACCAACCATGTAATCAATACCCTGCAGCCCAACATGTTAAAACATTCTTGAAACTATTTCCGAACATATGCGAATTTCCCATATAGGGAATAAGCTATTACCGTAGTACTCATGGTAAAACCTGGACCCGGGGCCGATTTAATTATTTTGCTTTGAGGTCCCTAGAGGCCGTAAAACACCATCCGTTGAAATTCATCGCGCAAATCGCGTATATATATATATATGTCCGTTAGCGCGATAACTCGAGCAAAAATGGTCCGATTTTTATGAAATTTAGTACAATATTTCTATGTAAAAAACGTTATAAACTAAAGAAAACAGTGAGTGTAAATGCACGTGTTAACAATGGCAGTGTCTAGCGGTAGCTTCCAATGCAACGTCACATGGTGGCGGGGTTGGAAGGGCAGCATCAGGCGGCACGCGTTCACTTCAAAGGACTGGGCTAACCCAAGGTCACACTATAGTGTACGCACCCACGCACCACCGTTACCGCGGACCAGGTGAAGAATACTATTCTTAATTCGATTATTTTTTTTACATTTAGTTTTGCATTGTAGTTGTTTTTTTATTATTTCAATTTAAAAATTGGCAAACAACTCATTTTATTAACACTCTAAGCATTGCCTTACAATATTATATTACAAAACCGTACACCTACTTTAAACCGAACCTGCTTGAGGCTGTTTAGTTGCGCGGACTGCAGGAGGGACTTGATGAAGCCACTATGGACTTCTGACACTAGCGGAGTTTAGTTTTGATGCCGTTTTAAAGAAAAGCATGCATGTTTTTACTATCAAAAACACGGTACTGTTAAGGATGCGCTCTGCCTCAGCTCAGAAATCTCAACTCGGGCCAGTAGATATGTTGCGCCATTGAACAGCGCCACGAGAAGCGCTTGTAGACGTTTTAAGTCCTCTTAAATAACTCACTTAACTTTTGAAATATTTTTCATCTGAAGATTGTTCCTTACTCCTTAGATTAAAATTTATGACTGTAGCTTTTTTGATTTTCTTCAAAAAATGTATTTGTATGTGTAAAATGCGTTAGAAAAACGCTTATATAGAAGTATTTATTTACCAGACTTCCCACTTAAAATTATACTACAGTAGTACCAAAAAA